ATTTTCCTTCTCTGCTCTCTGGGATACTTTGTCAGTCACCAGGTGCTTGTCCAGAGGACTAAAAACTTCCTATAGATTCACAGGTATTTGTGTTTTATTTTGGTTTACGATGAACTCAGATGCTTCATGTAGTCTTTTGTCTGTTTCAAAATGATATGGAATGTAGTAGCAAAGAGAAGGAAAGAAAACCAAATAAAAGCAAGCATCCCATGGTCCTTGTAGGGAAGAGTTGCCACCCTTGTTCATGTGTGTTAAGTTATAGTATGGAAGATGAAGAAGCTCTGGATATCTGCTGGCCTGTTAAGGACGTGATATTGTACACTAGAATATTTTTTAAGAGGGTAGATCTAATGTTAAGTGTTCTTACCACAAAAACCAAAAATAAAACAAAGGGACACAAGAAAACTTTGAGGTGATGGATGTGTCTGTTACTATGACTGTGGTCACCGTGTCATGGGTGTGTGCATGTGTCTCACTCATCAATCTCTACACATTAAATAGGTGCAGGTTTGGGATATTAATTATACCTCAGTCAAGGTGTAAAATAATAGAGTTAAATTTACCTGAAAAAGAAAACAGAAAGGCAGCATGGACCTTCGACAGATGCCCCCCGCCCTCAGATTTCCTACCAGGATCGCTGCCTTGTCCCAACATCGGTCATTTAATTCTGGGGAAGCAAGTAGCTGTGATGCCTATCGGGCCTTACGCTAAATGAACAGACTGAGAAGGATAAATACCATGAAATTTCACTTGTACGTGGAATCTAAATAAACAAAACAAATGAACAAACAAACAAAAACAGAAACAGTCTCACAAACAGATCAAACTGGTGTTACCAGGTGGGAGGGGAGGATGAGTGAACTAGGTGATGGGAACAAGAGGTAAAAATTTCCAGTTACAGAATAAATAAGTCACAAGGATGAAAGTACAGCATAGGGAATAGAGTCAACAATATTGTAGTAATGTCATGGGGTCATAAGGGGTAACTACACTTACCCTAGTGAACACTGAGGAATGTATAGAATTGTGGGTTCACCATGTCTATGCCTGAAATGAATCTATTGTATGACAATCACACTTCAATTAAAATTTAAAATTTGCAAAGCACCCTCCCCTGACGTCCAGTAGACAACTATGCAAAAGGTATGATGAGACAAATCCCCAAAGTAGAAATGTAAGGAAGAATGCTATCATATAATAAAAATAATATCAAATCAAAAACAGAAAAGGAGCAACAGCTCTGCTTCCCTGGTGCCCTTGCCTCTCTCTTACTGGGGAGTCTGCTCTGACTCTGGCTCCCCTCAGGGTGAGCTCAGGGAGGGCTGGCCTGGCAGCCCACCCAGCGGCTAGCAGGGACCAAAGCAAGGGAAATGTCTGCCAGGTTCCCCTTCTGCCATTGCCTTGCTCAGAGGCTCGCCCTCACGTATGGTCCCCATCTCCAGGGAGTCCCCACCGGTTCAAGCAATGGCACTCCCCTTAGCCCCCCATTGCTCGCATGGGAGTTCATTTCCCTCTTAGATGGCAGCTGTATAGAAAGTGCCTCATGAGGACAGGACTTTCTATTTATTGTCTCTGCTCAGAGCCAGCCTCTGGGCTGACCTGGGCTTTAAACCCAGCTTGGTGGCCATCACCCTGCCCTTTCTGCTCACCCCACTCTGGGTGTGCCTCTCCCCACTTCTTGTGTGTGACTAAAAGAGTCATTTGGGTTGTCATGAGTACTTTCTTGGGTAATTTTATTTTTAGAAATTTTTTAGCCCTTGCAAAAATTGTAATTATAAAAAAGGTGTTTTACTTGGGGAAACTAGACTTGTTTGGGGGATGCTCCTGAACCTAATATGTATAATTCTAAATTTTTATATGATTTCAATTGATGTAATTTAATTTGATAATTCCAAACTTACAGAAAAACTGCAAGTATTTTACAAGAAAATCCTATAAACCCTTTCCTCAGATTTACCAGCTTAATCTCTCATCCTTTATATCACACAAACATGGATTTGTCATGATGTGTATTTATGTATGTATGTATGTATGTATGTATGTATTTATTTATTAATTCATGAGAGACACAGAGACAGAGGCAGAGACACAGGCGGAGGGAGAAGCAGGCTCCCTGTGGGAAGCCAGACGTGGAACTCAATCCCGGATCTCGGGATCACGCCCTGAGCCTAAGGCAGATGCTCAACTGCTGAGCCACTCAGGTGCCCCTGAATTCATGTTTTTATTAGTAGTTAAAATTTTCTCACATTGTGCAAGGCTTTCCAATAGTGTGAAAGCACTTTGACTAACTTTACAGAGGGAGTTGAGAAAGTGAATCTGTATCAATTTGGCTCAATATTACTTTGAGAAGTTTATTTTTTGTTGTGTAGTATGTTATTACTCTTTGTACATAAGTGACTCTAGATGCTCTAGATGTATTAGTTTTTTTTTAAATTAATAGACTCTACATTTTAGGGGAAGCTTTATGTTTATAGAAAAATGAGCAGGAAGTACAGAGAGTCCCCATATATTCCAGTTCCCCAGTGATTGACATCTTGCATTAGTGTGGCACATTTGTTACAATCAAGGAGCCAATGGTGACACACTAACTAAAGTACATAGTTGATTAGGGCTCACTCTGTGTATACTCTATCGGTTTGGACGATGTATGATGACGTCCCTGCCATTGCAGTGTCCGCATCAAACTATGGACAGAATACTTTTCATGTTTTTTACCTTCCTTGGCTGCCCTGAGCGTCAGCCTTCCTGCCCAGTCCTGGCCTGGATGGGTTCCTGTCCAGTGGGGGAGGCACCAGCAGCCCAAGCGATGGCCAGGAGGCCACAAGTCTCAGGCACAGCCTTGGGGGCCCCTGGGACAGCAGGACACCCCAGAGCCAGAGGCCAGAGGAAGTATCACAGGCTTGGCCCTTCCCCTTGGGGCTAATTTTGCCTTTTCTCCAGGGGCCCAGGTGGGAGGAGGGAGGAAGTTGCCGACAGGTGACTTTATGCTGCATGCTGGGTACCTGCTTGTGCTGGTGGCACACAGGGCGGGTGAGGCTTCCCTGGCGGGGGCTGTCTCTGCCACAGCTGCTGGCTCGGCTGCTGGCAGGCTCTGCTCCTCCTGAAGCCCTGAAGCCCCAGTGGCCTGTGGCCAGACTCCCCCGGAAGGCTGCTTGCCCTGAATGATCTACGTCAGAGGGTAGAAAGGAAACAGCTTTAAAGACCACCTTTTACTGTTTTCAAGCACATTCTCACATTCTCCCAGTTGAACCTCTTAACAACTCTGGGAACTGAAGGACAGCCAGGAGAGCCCAGGAACAATGAAACAGTCTTGCAGAGGTCAGTGGCTTGTTGGAGGGTGCAGAGCCCCCAGCACCCTTCCTCAGCCTACATTGTTCCAAATTCCAGGAGGGCAGCCACGGAAGTTGTGGCCTTGCACCTGGTCCAGCATGGTGCCATCCACACAGTGATCTGGGGCTGGGGTGGGGTGGGGTGAGTGCATGGAGGAGAGCTTATTGAGGATTAACTATATTAGGCAAAAAACTGAAAGGGAAAGATTGGGGTCTTATATAAGATTGTCTAAATTTACCCCAACTTATATTTTTTACAAAAAGTTTGAGAATCTATTATGCTTTTTAAAAAGATTTTATTTATTTGAGAGAGAGAGTACGTGTGAGAGAGAGAGGGGAAGAGAAAGTGGAGGAGAGAGAGAGGGAGAGAGAGGGAGAGAGAGAGAAAGGGAGGGAGAGAGGAAGAGGAGAGAGGGAGAGGGAAGGAGGGAGGGGTGGAGAGAGGGAGAGAGAGGAAGGGAGGGAGGGAGAGAGGGAAAGGGGTAGAGGGAGAGAGAGAGCAAGTACAAGCAAGGGGAGGGGCAGAAGGAGGGGGAGAAGCAGAGTCCCACAGATCAGGGATCCTGACGTGGGGCTCCATCCCAGGACCCTGAGATCATGACTTGAGCCGAAGGCAGATGCTCTATGACTGAGCCACCAGGCACCCCAAGCATGTATTATGTCTTTATAACCAAAACCAAACCAAACCAAACCACACCAAACCAAAACAAAACCCCACCTATTCTGATTTAGGGGAAAAAGTACATCAATGACAAAGGTTTTGAAAGCAGACAAATTTGGATTTGATACCTCAATTCTTCAAACTCATTTTCTTCATCTGCATGATGGACACTCATCCCACGGGACTGTTTGGAGAATTAAGTGAGGATTCTTCATTTTTTTTTAAATTTATTTTTATTTATTTATGATAGACATAGAGAGAGAGAGGCAGAGACACAGGCAGAGGGAGAAGCAGGCTCCATGCTGGGAGCCCGACGCGGGACTCGATCCCAGGACTCCAGGATTATGCCCTGGGCCAAAGGCAGGCACAAAACCGCTGAGCCACCCAGGGATCCCCAAGATTCTTCAGTTTTTTAGCACAGTTTTTGATTTATGGAAAGGCCAAGAAGACACAAGACAGCGCAGACAACTCCCAAAAACCTGCCCACAGTTTCCTCCTGATAAGTTATCCTATAGAAATATGATACATTTGTTACAATTGATGAACGTTTCTTGATACATTATTATTAACTAAATTCCATGCTTTACTAAGATTCCTAGTGCCCTTTCTCTGTTCCGGGAGTACATGTCTACTCTGATGGTTTTTAGTCTAATTATTGTTTTTGTTGTGGTTGACACTCAGCAAACGCTTCTTCCCAGTCCTTCCCTTTCCAGGTAGGTGCCACCCAGGTAGCAAAACCTGTTCCCATGACTTTTTACTAGAAAACCCTGATAAAACTCAGGAAGTCAGCCTAAAGCCTGGATCCTGCCCCAGAGCTGAGGGCCCCTTCGGTGGGGTGGTGGCATAGGGGATTCTGTGTCAGGCCGAGCAGGGGTGCTGTGTGCCATGGAAGCAACCAGGCTCATGTTGCAGTCAAAGGTTTGAAGTCTTTGTTGAGCAACACAGCATCGTCTAGCAATTGCCTCAAGATGAATCAGAGAGATTTCTTCACTTGAGGTTGAAGGTGAAGCCTGGAGTGCCTTATAAAAACCTCCCTGCTCAGTAGTCCTCAGCAGTGCAGGCTCCTTGCTACATTTCCACTCTCCTGAACATTGAAGGGTAAGTGTCCTGTCCTTGGCTGTGCCCTCAGGGGGCACACAGGGTAGGGACTGATGGCTGTTGGAAGCCACAAGCTTCTGCTTGCCAAAGCATCTCCAGACTGAGTGCAGGTTGGACTCAGGAGACCAGCCCTTGCTGTGCTAGGTAGACTCAGTCACAGGACCCAGGGACGTGAAGGTGGAAGAGACCTGTGGACAAAGTGCCATCACCCGGGGAAAGGAAAGAGCCTAGCTAGCCACCAAATCCTTCCTGGGTGTGCTTGAGTAAACATCACCCTCTGAATTATACTCCCTAGGAGACAAGGGGACATGGAACATTGTGGCAATGGGGGTTGATTCTTTTAGACTTTAGATGGCATGATATGCCCCCCCAGGTCCCCAAGCCTATCTACAATTGAAAAATTTGCTAGTGATCAAACAGAGAATGCAAAGCAGATGTGGGGGAAGTCATCCATTGTCTGAACCAGAAAGAGGAGAGCAGAGATGTGGGGATGGGTAGGGGAGGAGCTGCCCTAGACCTCCCTTGTCTCCTGAAGGGTGAGAAGATGACTAAGCTGGAGGACCACCTGGAGGGGATCGTCGATGTCTTCCACCGGTACTCAGCCCGGGTGGGGCATCCCGACACCCTTTCAAAGGGTGAGATGAAGCAGCTGATCGTGAAGGAACTTCCAAACACCCTCAAGGTAGGTGATGGCCTCTCAACCAAACCTGCCCTCTGAAGGGCTGGGCAGAGGTCGGCCTGGGGGGGTCAGCCTCCCTCTCTCTCCATAACTTACTCTGTCACCTCCAGCAATATTTGCCTCTCTCTCTGGGATTGTTCCCTCACCTGTGGGGATTAGTGAGCTACAGAGACCTTCCAGGTTGAGACGTGAGTGGCTCTAGGGTGACTCACGACAGTTGCTTCCCTCTGACTTCTGTTTTGTCACATTGGATTCCCCAACACAGTTTTGGCGAATGACTTAATGTCCCTGGGCCTCCCTGAGCTGAGCTCTGAGAGATGAGAGGCTTGGAGAAGGGGGAGAAAGAGTCTGAGCTCATTGTCTTTCATGTCCCTTTCTAGAACACCAAAGATCAAGCTACGGTTGACAAATTATTTCAAGATCTGGATGCTGATAAAGACGGACAGGTCAACTTCAATGAATTCATATCCCTGGTTTCTGTTGTGCTAGACACTTCTCATAGGAATACCCACAAAGAGTAGGAAGCTCTGAGCAAAGTCCCCAAGAAGACCAATCCTTGTAATCACTGAAGAAAATGACAATAATAAATGTATTCTCAAAAAGTTCATAACAGTGTGCACTTCTTTCTTTCTGTGTCCACAGTCCCCAGACTGGAGCACGTCTCACCCCTGCAATTCTGACAGACCTCATGTAGAGCATGAAGATCCCCTTCTTTGTTCATTTGTTCACCAACTATTAAATGTCCACTGTTTGTTCCTTATTCATTCATTCAACAAATATTCACTGAACATCTGTGGTAGCCAGAAACCAGAGACACAGAGCCCTGTGCACATGGGACTATGTTCTTTCACAGAGGGAGGGGTAGTGAACCAACAGACCAAAGCGCATCATATGATACCGGGGAAGGCAGGAGAGGGAAGTACCATTAGGGTGGAGGGAAGGGGAGGCATGCTGGCTACGTGTGATGCTCAAGGAACGCATTTGGGCAGAAATCCAAGAGAGGAATGAGCATGGCTCACAGATATCTGGGCCAAGAGTTCTGGGCAGAGAGAGGCCAGGGCCCTAAGGTGGGCACACACCTGACCTGCTCAAAAATACAGCACAGAGGACAAGGTGCAGGAACTGAGTGGGGAGTGGTGGGTGCTGTGCATCTGCAGGGAGCGGGGAGCAGGGACTCCCAGACCTTGGGGCAAGCTTTGGGTTGTAAGTGTGCTAAGGAGCCACTGGTTAGATTTGAGCAAGAGAGCAAGATTTCATTTATGTGTCAAAAGGATCACTCTGCCTGCCTTTGTGGAGAGGAAATTGTTGGGGGCAGACCCCAGAGGGCAAGCAAAGAGAACAGTGAGGAGGGTTTCCCCAGAGCAGTGCTGGCCATGAGAAACAGTATGGGCCATGCTTAGGATTTTAAGTTTAGTTGTAGCCACAACTAAAAAGGTGAAAATAAAGAGGAAATTAATTTTAATAATAAATTTTTATAAACCCAATAGATCAAAAATAGTATCACTTCAACAACAAGTTGAAACAACAAGTTACTTTTTATTTTTATTTTCTTAGAGGCATTCAGAGAGACAGAGTGCCAGAGTCCCAGTGGGTGGGGAGGGCAGAGGAGAAGAGAGACTCTCAGGCTGACTCCATGCTGAGCAGGAAGCCTGATGCGGGGCTGGATCTCATGTCTGTGAGATCACAACCTGAGTGGAAATTAAGAGTTGGGCACATAACCAACTAAGCCACCCAGGGGCCCCAACAACATACAGGTTATTATTGAGATATTTTGCCTTCTTTTCTTTTTTTCTAAACCTTTGAAATCCAGCATGCTTCATGCTGACAATCACTGTTCACGAGGCCAGTGGTCACATGTAGCTCACAATGACCACGTTGGAAGTGCAGCTCTAGCCCATTCAAGGGAGGAGGCAGTTGGACGAGGGTGGCAGACATGCTGCTGGTAAGGGGTAGTCAGGCTCTGCATACCTTGGAAGGTGGCAATGAGATATCAAGGATTACTCCAAAGACTTTTCCCTGAGATGGGCTGGATGTCCTTGCCAGGGGAAAACCTGAGCAGCAAAAATCACCACACTGTATCGTGTTTGTTTGGGCAGAAGTAAGCACAGGGTGCGGTGGGGAACAGGTGAGTGGCCCAGCCTTGGCTGATGGTTGAGGTCAGTTAGGTATCCTGGAGGAGGAGAACCTTGGATGTGAAATTTGGGGTAGAACTTTGAAAGATGAGAAGATGCAGAATTTCCATGAACCTTCCTTTGGTTCTGTCAAGGGTGTGGGTAGGGGGGCAGGAAGGTGTCAGGAGCAGCCGGGGACACAGAAGCAGGAAAAGAGGGTTAGCTCTACCCAACATAGGGCACAGTGAGGGAACACTTCGCTGGCCAGCCTCCCTCCTTACTGTGGTCTATGCAGGTTCTTTGTTAAATGGAATCCCCCTAGGACTGTGCTGCTCTCCTGCTGTGCTCTCTCCTGCTGCGATTCTGTATCCACTAATGTGGTTTTTTGTTTCACGTCCATCTTTTCATGGACTGGAGTGAGCAGGTGCTGTATCACTGTGCCTGACGCACAATAGGGTTTCATGCACACATCCTACATGAATGAATGAATAGAAATCAGCATGGCTATTGGTTTGATTCTGTATAAATGGTCCCAGAGGAAAGAGGAAGGAGCATAGCCTCTGAAGGCTGGGTCGGTGAGCCCTGGTGAGAAGTGCATTCAGTCTGATTCAGCAAAAGCCACTGGGGGTGTCCCTGCCCCAAACCTCAGTCTGGCAAAGATGGGGTATCCCTTTGGCGTCACACTCCACGTAGTCAGGTGTCAGCATACATAAAGGTTACAGGCTGAATGTCCGCCAATGTGATGGTATTTGGAGATGGAGCCTTCAAGAGGTGATTAGGTTTATTTTTATTTTTTAAAAAAGATTTTATTAAAAAAAGATTTTATTTATTTATTCATGAGAGATAAAGAGAGAGGGAGGCAGAGGGAGAAGCAAACTTCTCACTGAGCAGGGAGCCCGATGCAGGACTCCATCCCAGGACTCTGGGATCACAACCTGAGCTGAAGGCAGATGCTCAACCACTAAACCACCTGGGTACCCTGGTAATTAGGTTCAGATCAGGTTGTGAAGGTGGGATCCTCACAGTGGGGTCAGTGCCGTTACAAGAAGAGACAGTTCTGCTTCTCTCCATGAGCACACATTGAGAGAAGGGCATGTGAGCACACAGCAGAAGATGCTGTCTGGAAGCTAGGAGGAGAGACCTCACCACCACCTGACCATGCTGACACCCTGACCTCAGGCTTCTAGCCTCGAGAACGGTCTGTGGTTAAAGCCACTCTAGCAGCTGAGCAGACAAAGATGCCATAGAAGTGGCAGGCAGGGCACAGCTCTGGCATATCCTTCAGTGGCTGCTCCTGCTGGGTCCTCTTCAGCAGGGAGGACAGGCCAGAGGGTAGAGTTTGTGACAAAATTTGAGAAAGATTAGGTAATTTTCTGGAGCCCAGGTATGACAGATAAGAGGAGTTTTATATTGTGGAAGGAGTAGGTCTGTCTTTCAGTTTATTTGATGCCAAGCCCCGTCAAGGCAATGTCTAGGATGCTGAGATTGAGAATGGAGTCCAGGAAGTGACAAATCCTGACCACTGAGGCCTAGGGGTGGTTTGCTGGGCCACTGGCCACATCTCAGGGTTGTGGACCTGAGGTAAAGCTGAGGCAGAAGAAAGTATGAAAGGCTGAGGGTGGGGTGAAGTGGGATTGGCAGAAGAGGAAGGAATTCCGGACCCAGAGAAGGGGGTCTTGCAATGGCCCAAGCCTAGATGACTGAATGGGGAAACATTCAGGAAAGCCCTCACTTGCTGGGTGAGTGTCTTCCCTACAAACTTTGCCACTGTTGGAGCAGGACCAGCCTGTTCTGCAAACTGGAGCACTCACCTGTCTGTGACCAGTTCTGAGATACAGAGGCCTATCAGAATGTGGTAGAAAACAGCAACCAGTCTCTAAGAACAAAACCCAGCATATTTGCTCTTATGAAAAATTCACCATCCATGATTTACTTTCAAAATAGCCAACTGAACCACCGATTAAACTTAAACCCTTTTTAGAGAAATTTGAAGGGCCCCCAAACTTGGTAAAAATTCATTAGCCAGAGGCACCCAAGGGCAATGAACTGTGCTCTCAGCCTGGAATCCAAGGTGCCTGGTTAGCTTCCTAGCTCCACTGCTTCTTGGCCCTGCGAGTTTGAGTGGGTGGCTTCCCTTGTCTGAACCTCTGTGTTTCCACCTGAAAAGTGCAATTTGGACTTTTTAGATGGAACTGCAGAGGCTAGTCCCTGGATGATGTCCGCACCTGGAAACAAGCAGACGGACATGAGGACCATTAGAACCACAGGACCACAGAGGCGGGACCTGTTCTCTCCAGCACCATGCCATCAACCCCCTGCCTGCTACGCTGGGTTCCAGAACATTCTCCAGTTTCTCTGCGAACTTTTGGACTCTTTGAATTCTGCAAGTGCTGTGCTATTGTCCATTTTGTCTGGAGTGCCCTCTTCTTCCTCTACAGCGTCTATCTGTTTTAGGCACCAGATCACTGAGGTCTAGATATTTTGCTTATCCACCAAGACCCAACCCAATTGTTGCATCCACTGGGGAGCTCACCCCTTCACATTCCTCACACATGTCCACCCCTCCCATCCACAGTAGATTCCATGGAACTCTGGGGGCTTGCCCACCCATCAGGGTTAGTCTGACAGAGTGCTCTGGGCAAAGGTGTTTATATTCAGGAATAAGATCACCTCTGTGATCTTGAGCAGAACCCTTAACTTCTGGGAGTCTTGTTTGCTCATCTGTAAAATGAGGACACTGATGCCACTTTTTGGGTGTGACACCTTGCTTTTCAGAAAGACATCTCAGGTGGGCTACGGGTATACTGCATGCCAAGCTATGCCAAGGTGCATATCGGGATTTTGGAAATCAGGAAAAGATCTGGACTCAATGGGATGGCTACCAGGAGCTTAGGGCAAAAGTGAGTAGGACTCAACATTTTAATTTGGCCGGTATAAAAAGTCATCCAAGTCAAAAGAAAGCAAACCATGCTTCTCTGATTTCTCTGATTATCTAACACAGTACTGGGGATGCAGTAGCTCAACCATTTCCATTTCAAAACTCACTTTGGCATTTATCTGTGAGCACTTACCCCGGCCTTCTTTCTCTCCCCTCCACCCACTCAAGAAGATAGACAAGAGGTGGCTCCTCTATGCTTCCAGGTTGCCTGTAGTGACCACCCACCTTGCTTTTCTTTTCCACACATCCTGATATTGAAAATACCTATTTGGGTGTTCCTCACCCCCATCATATTAAAGGCTCCTCAAGGGCAGGGCCCTAATGCTGTGTTTGATGTGAAGGCCAGGCAGGGTGCCACAGCCTCCCGGTGGCTCCCCATGCTTCCACTCTGGACCCTGACCCTCTTACATGTGGCAGCCAGATGGCCTCCCAACACAAACATACTGCATCACTTACCTGATTAAAACCCACCAGAAGTTTTCCAGCGCTTGCCACCTGGCCCCATGTCCATCGCCGCTCCCCACGGAGGCTCTGCCTCATTCTCCGCCCCACCCA